GGGCGCCTGCAGGGTGCCGCCGGGCCTGAGCGCCGCCCTGCCCCCACGGCACTGCCAGGCGGGGAGCCGGTCACGGTCACGTGCAGGACGGAGGGCGCCCGTCTGCAGCCAGGAGGGATGGACACTGGGAGGCTGCCCCTGGGCCACCAGCAGCTGGGGTCAGCCCCCCTTGCCTGCGGCCCCCCAGGAAGTGTCTGAGCTGCTGGCGGGCGGGCAGCCCTGGCCGAGCACTCATCTGTGGGTGTGCCCGCAGGGGCCAGGGCGCCAGGGCCGAGGACTGGACAGTGGGCTGTGCCCTGCAGGGGTCCCCAGGGGCAGCCCGGCCTGCCGCCGGGAGGGTGGAGGAACCCGAGCCGCCCCAGGTGTGCTGTGCTGGAGTTTAGTGTTTCGAGGCGGCGGCGCCCCACCTGCCAGTGGGCGTATTCATTACGCGGGCTCGGGGCGGGGCTGGCTTGAGCCCTACTGCTGTCTCCTGGGGCAAGGCCCGCTGGCCAGGGAAGCTCCCGGGCCCCTTTCTGGGCTTCCATGGGTGCAGGCTCCCACAGGTGACAGCGCCTGGGCCACCTTCGCAGGGACGTGGCAGTGGCCTGTGGGGGGCACGCGGTGGTCGGGCACCTTCCCCAGGAGGCCGCCTTCGGCCATGGGAGTGGCCGTGGGCGCCCTGTGGCCTCGAGCTCCTTCAGGATGCGTTGCCTGGGGTGCTGACCTGCTGCCCGCCGGGCGAGGGCACAGCCCTCCCGGGGTCCTTGGGCCCCGGCCGGGGGGCAGCCTCCCGACCCCAGAAGGCCGCCGCGGAGTGCCCCTGCGGGCTGGTCAGCCGGGCCCCGGCTGACCCCAGCATCCTTGCTGACCCCCGGCCCGCAGATGAAGATCTCTTTCAATGACAAGAGCCTGCAGACCACCTTTGAGTACCCGTCCGAGAGCTCCCTGGCGCAGGAGGGGGCCGAGGGCGCGGAGGGTGACGAGGACGAGGACAGTTCCGGCTCTGACGGGGCCTCCGAGCTCTTCCTGCCGCGGGTTACGTTTGTGAGCAGCGACAGCAGCGCCTGTGAGTGCCCGCCGGGGGAGGGGTGGCAAGCGAGCCCCGGGTCACTGGCCCACCCGTGCACCCCTGGCCCGCAGGCCTGTCCAGCTACACCCCCAAGCACGCCGTGGCCTTCAACCAGTGGCAGGAGCAGAGGTCGGAGCCAGAGCCCGCGGAGCCCGAGGCCCCGTCCAGCGAGGTCATGGTGAGTGGGCAGTGCCTGGGGGGCGGGGCTGCGAGGCCGGCGCCCGCGGGCTGCTCAGCGCCCCTCTCTCAGCTCACCCCAGCCGGCCAGGACGACCTCTCAGACTTCCGCAGCGAGCCGGCCCTCTACTTCTGAGCCCGACCTGGACCTGCGCAAGGCCAAGCGGGCTGGGAGCCGCCCTGTCTGCCCCCGGCTGGAAACCGCGCCCCCCTCTCCCTCCCAGGGGCACCCTGGCCCCTCCCCAGGCCCGGGGTCACTGCCTGTGGAGCGGGTGGTGCGTGGCCGGGGCTGGCCTGGCCGCACCCTCAGCAGGACTCGGGGCCCCGCCAAGGCCCCCGTCTCCAACAGCTCAATAAACAGCGACGGCGAGGCGAGGCGAGGCGGCCTGTCTGTGACTCGCGCCGCGGGGTGCAGGGTGGGCTGCCCCAAGCTCCTGCGCTGTGAGCGGCAGCTCCTGGGGCGATGGGTCCGCCGGGTGATGCGGAGGTCAGGCGGCGGCCAGCCTCCACCTTGGGCCTGGCACCTGCCCGAGCGCGCCCAGCCTGCCGCAGCCCTGCCCTGAGCGGACTGAGTCTGGTGCTGGCAGGCCCAGGGCCCGTGACCGCCGCTCGGGGTGCCCGTCCCC